GGAGGCCCCTGTCCCCTGGTGAATCTCAGGTTTGTTTTCTTGCCTGGAGTCGGGCCAAGCCCCCCCTTTCTCATCTACTCCGCACACTGCCGGCTCTGACTTTGCCCCGGTGCCTCGTCTGGGTTGGCCTCGTTTTGCGGTCCCAGCCGCGCCAGGGCCCAGCCTGGCCCTGCCCCAGGCCCGATGTGCTGTGTGTGGCCTGCCCACCGGGGGCGCCTTCCACGGCCACCTGGGGGTCCCGCGCTAGGGGACTGAGTCGATGGCGGGCCAGGGCTGTGTTCAGACATGGTGCTGCTAGCCCACTGGGCGACGCGACCTTGGGAGGAATGCCCCTGAGCGCCCCCACCACCCCCAGCCTCTTCACTCGTCTGCCGGCGGGGAGAGTGACAGCCGTCCTGGCTCACAGGACGGACGTGAGAACAGATAACTGTGGTGTGGGAGATGACCTTATGGGCACAGAAATTAGCGTTAAAACAAAGCCTTGTCACCTATCGGGGCAGGCATCCTTAATTTTAGAGAGAGAGCGCGCGTGAGTGAGGGGAGGGGTTGAGGGAGAGGGAGAGAATCCCCAAGCGGACTCTGCGCTTAGCCAGAGCCCAGTGTGGGGCTTGCTCCCGGGACCCCAAGACCATGACCCAAGCCGAAATCAAGAGCCGGTCACTTAACCGCCTGAGCCACCCAGGTGCCCTGGCGGGCATCCGTCTCAGACGACCCCCACGGGGCCCCTCCCCTTGAAGGTGGGCTGGACCTGGTGACTCACCTCTCACCAACGGGACACTGCAAGAGTGAAGGGACTGGGTTAGACAGGATATGACTTCTCCCCTGTTAGTCCTCTCTCTCTCTCTCTCTCTCTCTCTCTGGCTTTTCTCTCTTGACCGCTCTGATGGAGCGGGCTGCCCTGTCGTGAGTGCCCTAGGGAGAGGCCCACATGGTAGGGGAATGGAGGCCCTCGGTCCAACAGCCCACGAGGAACTGAATCCAGCCAACAGCTGCTGAGTGGGCCGCTAGCCTCGAGATGGCTGCAGCCTTGGCGGACCCCCGGATTGCAGCCTGCGAGAGGCTCAGAGCCAGAGGCCCCCAGCCAAACTGCATTCAGATTCCAGTCTAAGAAAAACTGAGATTAACTGATGGCCTTTTTTTTTTTTTTTTAAGATTTTATTTATTTATTTGAGAGAGAGAGAGTACAAGGAGAGGAGAGGCAGAGGCAGAGGGAGAAGCAGACTCCCCGCTGAGCAGGGAGCCCGACGCAGGACTCGATCCCAGGACCCCGAGATCATGACTTGAGCCGAAGGCGCATGCTCAACCGACTGAGCCGCCCAGGTGCCCCGACTGTTGTTCTTTTAAACCATGAGGTTTTGGGGGTTATTTGTTACAGAGCAGTAGGTAACCAATATACGTACTTATTTTAATGTGTCTTAGAAAAAAGCATAAGTAGCACATCGTTTGGATTTGCAGACATTTATTGATTGATTGCAGTGAAACTCGGGGAAATGAGTTCATTTAAATCAACTGTAAGAGAACTGTAAATAAATAAAAGAATAAAATAAATAAATAAATAAATAAATAGAAAGACTAGATAAATAAAAGAACGAATGGAGGGGGATGGACAATGACCAAAGTTCGGTAAGAATTAAGATATTGATGGGACAGGGCGCCTGGGTGGCTCAGATGGTTAAGCTTCTGCCTTCGGGCAGAAGCTCAGGTCATGATCTCGGGGTCCTGGGATTGAGTCTCGCATCGGGCTCCCTGCTCAGTGGGGAGCCTGCTTCTCCCTCTGCCTCTCTCTCTCTCTTTCTAAATAAAACAAAATAAAATTAAATGATGATATTAAAAAAAGATATTGATGGGACAGTAATTGCGAAGCCGTGGCAGGTGTATTCAATATTAGAAATAATTAAGGTTATGTTGGGGGCAGCCGTCTACGGGGTGTGGGGCAGGATTCCTCTGGTTCCCTGGCTCCCCCTCGAACCACAGCCTGAATGTGTGCAGTGTCCGCATCAGGGGAGGGGCAGCTTTGTGTCCTGATTCCTGCAGCCCCATGCCCAGTGGGCATCTGGGAACCGCGCTTCTAGGGCAGCGTCTGACTCTGGCAGTTACCTCTGTTCTTTGGCCTGAGGAAGGGACACAGCAGAGGTTGGGGTACAAGAGGAAGGAGAAAGGAAGACAGGAGTAGAGGGTGTCAAATGAGGTCAAGGTCACGCCTTGGCTCCCCTGCAGAATTGCCTCCCAGTCTGGGGCACCAGAAAGACCCGTGGACCAAGCAGGTAGGAGGACTGACTTCTTCCAGTCTCAGCTGCACACAGGGGGAGAGCTCGGCAGAGGACTTCTCCCCTCTGGCCTGGGAAGTGCTGTCACCGTGTCCTCTTTCCCAGTCCTGTCTCCTCCGTTGGACCAGAGGGACAAGGAGCAACGAGGGTGGGCTGGTGGGTGGGGCCGAGCACTCTGACTGCTCCTGCAGGAAGGGCACCCTGCGCCCGAGCGCCTCCCATCTGCCTGGCTCTTGACAGGTGTCACCTTGCTTAAACCCTCTCAACATCCACGTGAGGCTGGTGTAATTTTCTCCCCACTTTACTGATGGGGAAACCGAGGCAGAGAGGGGTGGGATGTGCCCAGGGTCTCAGAGCTGGGTCTGCCGGAGAGCAGACGCTTAACCGACTGAACAACCAAGGCACCCCCTCCCCACTCCATTTTAAATAATGTTTCCTTTAATTAATTTTCACCAAATGCTTTTACTGCCTTGCGTTCCACTTGAGCCTCCTTGAGTTTGTGCCCAAACCTAAAGGGAATTCTTTAATGCAATAAAGATGGATCCTTGATGGATGGGCCAGTTTTTACAAAGTTCTCCATGTGTCTATTGCTTTCTTTTTCCAGAATAAAAGTATCTTAATTTTTTCAGGTTGTAAAACGCATGCTTCTTGTTTAAGAGAAAAAAAAATCAAACCCGTGAACAAATTCTCTGATTTCTCTCTCCTCTCCTGGGATAACCACATTCTTGCCCTCTAGCCCTTTTAAATATTTGCCAACTGATTCACTCAATGATTTTTACTGTTATTTTAAGTTGCATATCTTTGTATTCTAATGAGGTGAAGCTTTGTTCCAAGCATTCTACATGAATAATTCCTCTTTTGTGAACTTCTGGTTGAAGTCCTTTGTTCCTTTCCCACCTAAGGAGAATATAATCTTTTTCTTAACGGATTTTTAAGAGCTCTGTGGGAGGCAGAATTTTGGTTCCTGGTATCTTCATCTCCCAGCATCACACCGGTGGTTAAGATAGGATAGCTGGCAAAAGGGATTTGCAGATGTAATTAAAGTTACTAATCAGCTGATCTTAAAATAAGATTATCCTGGGTTATCTGAGGCGCCCAGTGTACTCATAGGAGCCCTTAAAAGGAAAGAGATGTGGCAGAGGGAGGAAGTCGGAGAGACGGGAAGCATCTTGCTGCAATTTGACGCATCTCATTCGAAGCATGAGATTCAGTGCACTCTTGCCGGCTTTGATAATGGAAGGGGCCTTGAGGGAAGGAATGTGGTGGTCTCTAGGAGCTGAGAATGACCCCTGGTCGACATCCAGCAAGAAACAGGGACAGCAGTCCTAGCCAGCCTGGTGAGTGAGCCTGGCCCTGACACCTTGCCCTTGGCCTTGTGAGGCTCCGATGATGCAGTTTTGGAATATAGGTGAGGTTCAGTGGGGTGGAGTCCGGAGCCGATGACCAAAAAGAATTCTTGAGGCGTCTTTGGTGCAAAATGGTGGCTTATTAAAGCACGGGGACATGACCCGGGGGCAGAAAGAGCTGCCGCCCTGTGGTCTTGAGGAGTGGTGATTATATAGTCAGGAGTTGGGGAGGTGAGGACAAAGGGGGTGTCGGGAAGGACTGTCATATGCTAAAGACTCTCAGGATACTGGAGGCCTGGTTATTGTCAAGCCAAGGTTGTTTTTCTCTCTAATGAGGCACTAACTTGAAGACAATTGGGAGTTTCCTGGAAGAATGTTACATTCCTCCTATCACGCCGTCCTTGTCAATGGGCTTCAGGTTCAAAAGCAAATCAGTTTTATTTACATTTCCTTCTGCCTCAGTCTCCCTCAATTTCATGTAGGGGAGGGTGATGTTAGGGCCTCAGGAAACTGAGTTATGGGTCTCTGGGAGTTAGGCTATTGATAAGAAAGCTTCTTCCTCGTAAATCACTAGGACATTTGTAAAGTGAGGGAGACTCCTGTCCTGCAGGACTGTGATCTCTATCAGTTAACCATTTGTTTTTCCTTTAGGGCAGCCAGGAGGGCCTGAGGAAAGTCACATATATCCCAAAGTGGGGGGAGGGGGGAGTTGTAGGGTCCAGCTTCGGCTTTGTCCTCCGTTTGCCTTCTGTTCCCTCATCACCGACACGAGGACCCAGCCCAGGCCCTGGACTTCGGACCTCCGGGACTGAGAGATGATAAATGGCAGAGGTTTTTGGTAAATTTGCTGTAATGTGTCACAGCAGCAATGGAAAACAGCTATTTATGGGTTAATGTTGGAAACACTTCATGTATATGTTGTAAATATTTTTTTCAAGTGTGTCAGTTGTCTTTTTTTTTAAACCTTACTCTTAATTACATTCAATCTTACTAATTTCATTACCAGAGGGTAAACTCAAGTTCCATTTTGGGGGGATGTCCTTTGGTCGTGACCCCCACGTACCCAACACTCACAAGCAAAACCCGGATTCCTGGGCCCTGCCCGGAGTTTCGGATTCAGCAGTTCGGGGAGGGCCCCGGAATCTGCCTTTCAAACCCGTGCCCAGGAGCTGCTGACACCGCTCTTTGGGAAGGCATTCCTCCCAGCCCTAAAGGGTCCCTAGAGCCCCTCCCTGCGGGTAGGAAGCTGAGCCCCACCCCCCGAGAGGCAGGGCCCTGGAAAGCCCCGCCTCCACGCGAGCCCTCCATTCTTATTGGCTGGTAGCGAAGGGGCATACCCTAACGTCACAGCGCCGTCACCTCCTCCTCCCGACCTCCAGGGGCGGGGACGCCACGCCTGCGCGATAGAGCTCGCGCTCGGCGTCCTGCGCTCCTGGTAGGGTCCTGGCTGCCCCGCGGCGGCTCCATGGCGGACTCCCGGGCCGAGTCGGAGCCCCTCTTGAGTCGGGCCCGGGGCGGCAGCGGCCGAGACTGCCTGGAGGGCTCAGCCGCTCGCCGCAGCGTCCGCGGCGGCCCTGGTGAGCGGCGGCCCAGGGAGGGGAGCGGGCCGCGGGGGCGGTGCGTGGGGTCCTGCCGGCTCCGCGCCGTTCGCTGTCGCCGCTGCGGGCGCGTCCCACGGGCCGGGGTCTGAGCGGGCGCGGGGAGCGAGGGGAGCCGCCCTGCGGAGGGCGGGGGGCTGCACCCTGCGGAGTAGCGGGCGCCAGGGTCGGCCACGCGCTGCAGGGTCGCGCCCTGCCTCTGACCAGCCGCCTGAGAGGCGTCGCCTAGCCGGCCGCCCGCGCCCCGCAGCCCCGTGCAGCCCCCTCGATGGGCCTCGGGTGGACCCAGGGCTCGCGGATCGCCTTGGTGGCCCCTACCCTAGGAGGCAGCGCTTCCGTTTTCCTCCCGGGTATGATGGGGGAAACTGAGGCACAGAGAGGGGCGTTCCCCTACCCAAGGTCACCACAGCCAGGAGGTGGCCGCGGTGGGGTTCAAGCCCAGCTGCGAGTAGACTCAGGAGTTCTTTCAGTCTACTTCTCTCAGTCTCGGTGCTGGAGTCCCCCCGGAGGCTGGTCCCCCTTCAGTTTGGGGTTGGGGCAGGCCTCCCCAGACCAGGGCAGCTTCCTCCCTTTGCCCTCTGCAGCTCCCTCCTGCCCTTCCTGTTTACCAGCGGAGAAGTTGCCGAATCCCGAGGAGGGCCGGAGGGTGGAGTCCATCTGTCTCCCGCAGACGGCGAGGGGGTTGAGTACTGGGTTAGGGATGGAAGGGCTTCAGCCTCATTTTACAGAGGAGAAAACCGAGGCCCACAGCGTCTCCAGGACCTGTCCAGGGTCAGCCCTGGGATCTGGTGCAGCTGCGGCTGGTGTCATGCTGGGTGTTCCTTCTGGGAGCACTTTCGCTTTCTGGGCTTGCTTTCTTCCTCTGTCTGGGAGGGGCCCATAGCGTGTGCCCATCCGTGGACTCGGGGGGGCGGGGTGGCGGGCTCCTGACAGGAGACGGGATAACTAGAGGCGGGGGCAGCCACCTGCCTGTGCATCTCGGGGGCTGTCCCCAAGAAAGTTCTCCATCCAACCCGTGCCAGGCTCCACGGGTCCCTGGGCAAGGGACATAGGGCATGCAGACTTTGAGTCTGGAGGTGAGAGTGCCTTTCTGGTGCTGCCCCTTCTGGCTGTGTGACCTTGGCAGGTTGCCTGACCTTTCTGAGCTTTAATAAAAGGCAGGTGGTCAGAGGGGCTGACTTGAGGGGTGTTGTGAGGATTCGGAGAGAACGCTGGGAATGCCCTCGGCGCAGGACCTGGCCAGGTGGCAGAGCTGGTGCAGTTGGTGCTGAGGGCCGTTCTGGGCAGCGCACCGTGATTGTCACAGGTCTCGGTCCTGGCCAAGTGGACGGTGGGCACATGAGACCTGCAGTGTAAGGTAGGAGCCAGGGCCAGGCAGTGTGGGCGGTGAGCAAGGGCTCCTTGTCTGGCTGCCATGTCCTCCGTGAGGGTTCCTGAGAACATGAGGGGACACCCTCTGTTCTGAGTCTCCCTGGCTAGGCTGCTTGGCCCCGGGGGTGGTGGGGACTGAGAATGGCTGGTCTGCCCTCAAGCTCCTGTGGGGGCTCCCAGGTGGGGCTCTGTGCACCCAGTTTGTGTGTCCTGCAGTCGGATCCTCCTACTGATGGGTGGGGGGACTGTGTTGCTGGGTGCCCCGCAGACCCTGCGGTCAGGTCCTTCTGACCCAGCCTCACCTCATCAGCCATAGAGCGAGGGTGTTTCCTCTTCTTGTTCCTCTTCTTGTTCCTGGTTAGGGAGTCATACTCTTTCTGGTTATGGAAAAGTCAGAGGACGAGGGAGCACCATACCACGGAAGGGGCTTCTAGAATAAAAGCAGCAGATAGCTACAGCAACCCCTTCAGTCTGCACATCTGTCCCGTCGTGTGTGACCCAGGAGGAGCACTGAGGCACAGAGGTGAAGGGACCTGCCCAGGGTCATCAGGGAGCTGGTCGGGGCCCTAGGCGGGTCGTGCAGGGTGGAGCCTGGGACAGGAAGGAGAGGAGGCTGGGGTGGGGCGCGGTGTTTGTGCCTCTGTTGTCCTCTGCTCTCTGCGGCAGACGTTCTACCCCGATGCTCCGACCTGGTGTGCCCGCTGATTGCCACCCGGGGTGGGGCACTACCACGTTGGGCGACAGTACTCCTGTTAGGGACAACAGCCTGGGTAAGCGCTTGGAGTCTTGGGAGAACCTGGCTCTGCCAAGTTCAGGATGAGCAGCGTGGAGGGCGTAGGGAGGGGGAAGCAGGACGGGTGGGTGAGTGGGTGAGGTGGGCACCGTAGTGCCAGGTGGGGACAGTGTGAACTTTGTCCAGGAGCACTGGGGGCTCGCGGGAAGCTGTGACATGTTCACGACCAAGGGTTTGTGACAAGGTGCCCCTGGCTGCTGGTGTCAGGGGCTGCAAAGCAGGTGGGGTGGCCTTTCTGAGGTTTGGTGCCCCGCGGCCCCGGCCAGAGGTCTGGTGTGTGCTGGGCAATTCCCGGGGTGCCTGACGCCCCTGGCCTGTGATGGCTTGCCTGGGCATGGGCTGCACCCCGCATCTGGGCCTAGAGTGAGCCCACAGGCTCTTCTTGTCTCAGAAGCTTGTATCCTTAGATCTCTCCAGGTGGCGATCTCATCTCTTATCCCGGGTTTGGGTAACATGGGGTCCCCTGTGGGCCCTCAGACCACCCTGCCCCGCAGCCTCCTGTCAGGGCTGTTCGCTCCGTAAAGAAGCTTTGAGGACACTGTGTGCCGAGCCCTGCACGGTCCTGGGCTCTGTGGGTACAGCAGGGAGTAGACCAGAGTATACTGTCTGATCACAGTTCCCAGGATGCCGTCAGGGGAAGCAGGCAGTCACCGTCCTCACAGACTCCCTGGGAGAACTTTCAGGGCTCCTCAGGGCAAGCACGGAGGCTGTACATGGCGGGAAGCTGAGGCCTAGATAGAGGTGGGCGCTTGCCCTGGGTGACACAGCAGTGTGATGGCAGAGCCAGGCTGGGGTCTTGCCTCCTACCTCTGTCCAGGGTCCCCCACGTCCCTCATTGGCCCCCGGGACCCTGTGGCAGGAGCCCTGAGGACAGGGGCAGCTGCTTCCCTGGGGGTGGTGGGCAGAGTAGACAGTCGCCCACCGCCCGCCCGCACTGCCTTGGGCTTCCGTACCTCTGCTCTGGAGGCATGCACGTAGCAGTGTGCTCTCTGTACGAGGTGAACTGCTGCTGGCACGAAAGGACCAGAGCTGAAAGTAGAATCTTCAGCAGAAACAGCTGCCCCCTCGTTTCTAAGCCCTGGGCTGGGGGGTGCTGGGGGCTGCGTGCCGCTCTGCTCCCCACCTGGGGCCCGGGCTGCAGCCCTCCCGCATGGACCTCGGGCCATGGGGTTCCTCTGTTGCTGCGAGCCACGTCTCCTCATGCCTTTTTTTTTTTTTTTAAAAATTTTTTTTTTTTTATTTATGAGAGAGAGATAGAGAGAGAGAGAGAGAGGCAGAGGGAGAAGCAGGCTCCCAAGGAGCGGGGAGCCTGATGCGGGACTTGATCCCAGGACCCTGGGATCATGACCTGAGCCGAAGGCAGACGCTTAACGACTGAGCCACCCAGGCGCCCCTCCTCATGCCTTTCTTCTCCCTTCGTGTCAAGCAGTGGCCGGAACCCAAGGCTGCAGGGACTGACCTAGTGTGCAGCTTATGGCTCCTCCATGGGCAGGGGGCGGGGGTGCTGGGATGAGGCTTCCAGCCGCCTGACGTGTCCTGAAGGCCCCGCGTAGTCGGGAGCCTGCCGGGGCCCACTAGGGGCCCTATCCGTCCTCCCGTGCCCTGACACCCCCGGGTGCTGGTGTGTGAAGGCGGTAGGAGGGGGCCGCAGCTGCCCGCTTATGGAGCACGCTCCGTGTGCCGGGCCAGGCCTGGGGCGCTCTCCTGGGCGGCCCTCTCCTGTGCGGACGTGCTGCGGGGCGAAAGGCCTCTCACTGCAGAGCCTTGGAGAAGAATGCCTCCAGGTTCTTTCCTTGATCTCGGTGGTCCTGTAGCCGGTGAGTGTCATGTGATCCGCCTTGTCTCCTGACGGGCTCTCTCTGCCGGCAGGCACTCGGTCCCGGCGGGATCTCTGCTTTGACCAGGCTGCTGTCTTCATCGAAGATGCGATCCAGGTGGGCAGCACCTACTCCCAGTGGCTGGGCTTGGGCTCCTCTTCACGTTTTGTGGGGGCTGGGTGATGGCTGCCCTGCTGGTCCCCTCCTTGCTGTCCTGGGGCCGGCGCCTCGGTGGCTGGCCCGTGTAGTCATCATAAAGTGATAATGGGGCCTGTGGGCACGGCTCGCCTGGAGTCCTCCCTAAAGCAGGTGGGCGCTGGGTGCTCTTCCCTTGAGTCCTAGAATCGGTCACTGGTTTCGTTGAGTTACACCTGCTGAGGGCCCGTCGTGTGCCTGCCTGTCCCAGGTCCTCTGAGAGATGCCCAAAGATGGTCAGACTGTCCCCTGCTGGAAAACAACACTCAGGCTCAATTCGGGAAATAGGCTATGGAAGGGAGCAATGGAACCGTGTGGGGGGCTAGGCTGGGGGGCGGCCTGGAGAGTGAAAGTGGTGGGAGCCTTGTATAGCAGGGGGGTGCCTCACAGGCAGGCAGTGGGCACAGCTGTACGTTTGGAAGTGGGTGTCCATGCAGGGCCGTGGAGGCTTCGGGTGCCCCACAGGGTCACGCGAGAGCCCTTTGTCCACGTGTGCCGTGGAAGTGGACTCTGGTCCGCGGCCCGTCTCCCTGCCTGGGGCCTGTCGTGGGGTCAGTGGGTGCCCGGCCTGTGGCTGGCCATGCTGTGTGGCTCCGAGGGGACCCCCACTCACGCTCCCCTGTGTGATGTTCACTTTCAGTATCGCTCCATTAACCACCGCATGGACGCCAGATCGGTGTGGCTTTACCGCTTGTATTACTCAAACACGTGCCAGTGGTGAGAAGGCCCAGGCGTGCAGTGGGGGGTTCCTGCGGCCTGGCTGGGTTGGGGGAGGCCGGCCTCAGGGTCCAGGCAGGTTTCCCCTCCCCAAGGTGGAGAAGGAGCCCAGCCCGAGGAAAGAGGGGCTCTTCCGGTGATGAGGCTCCGCCATGGCCGTCGAGCTTTGACCTGAGTACTGCTATCTGACCACTCGAGAGCGGGCACGAAGCAGGAGGCGTGGGGTCCTTTTGAAACCATGGAGTCTGTTCTGCTGTCATCCCAGGCATTCCCCTGCCTGCACATCTAGTTTTGGGCCCAGAGCCCTGCTGGTTCGTGCATTTTCATTAGTTTTTGTTCTTTTTTTCAGGATATTGAGCTTCACCATTTTCTTGATCCTGTTTTTGGCTTTTATTGAGACCCCTTCCTCGCTCACTAGCACCGCAGACGTCCGCTACCGCTCGGCCCCCTGGGATCCACCCTGTGGCCTGACCGAGAGCGTCGAGGTGCTCTGCCTGCTGGTCTTTGTGGCTGACGTCTCTGTGAAGGTCAGGTGGGCGCCGTCAGGTGCCCAAGCCCACGGGCCAGTGCCCTCCCAGCCTGTCCGCTGCTTTCCTGATTAATTTTTATTCTCCTGGAGCTAGCTTCCTTTTTCCCTGACTGTGCCCTCTGGCCCTCCGAGCAGAGGCCTTGGTTGGTGAAGCAGAGGCTCTGTCAGCTCTCCGCCCTCTCCAGACCAAACTGCGTCTGGGTTCGGCCCTGCCAGGTGCACGGCCTTGTGGGATCTCCGCGGGGGGCCAAGGGTCTGGCGGTGCCCCCGTGAGGAGAGACCCCAGTAGAATAAGGCAGGACCAGTGGTCTCTCTCACGGCCCAGCCTCCCACCCCCCCGAGAAGAGGAACACAGGAGGAGTTGGGCGTGGGGCCGAGAGGGGCCTGTTGCCACGTGCTGTGTGTCTGACTCTAGATTCTTTCTGACCCGAGTCCTTCCAGAAGCTGGAGGTGGGCCCTGCCTTGCTCATTTGAGCTTCTGGGCCGTGTCGGAGGTTCAGAGCCTTAATGGCTTCCCAGTGAGACGCCGAGGGGCTGAGGGGCCGGGCCTGGCTGTGGGTCACGCATGGTTCCTTTTGTCAGACAGGAGCGATTCCAGCGTTCCAGTGCTGGGCCCTCGGGACACGGCTGGCCACCGTGAGGCGGGCTGTCCCCAGAGTCAGGGGTGCCTTTGCCCGGCCCCTGCTGGGCTGTCCTGCTGACGCTGAGGGCTGTGGGCGAGGGCCCTGGGCAGCTTTGCATTGTTTCTTCTTTAGCCCAGGATGCGTTTAGGAGGTTTGGGGGTTTTTAAACTGGAACTGAAACTGCTGAGAAGTTCTCATTAGTATTTTTTGAACGGTTGGTGCGTTGGGAAGTCTCACAAGTTAGAGCGAGTGTACATTTTTATCTGCCCGCAATGACCTCTGGATTCCCCTGCTGTCTGTGGGGCTCGTGGCCACAGAGGAAGACCTCGGACCTGGTTGGTTTTTTTTCTTAAGATTTTATTTATTTGAGAGAGAGAGAGTGCACACAAGCCGGGGGGGGGGGGCAGAGGGAGAAGCAGACTCCCCCCGAGCAGGGAGCCCGATGCAGGGCTCCATCTCAGGACCCTGGGATCACGACCTGAGCCAAAGGCAGATGCTTAACTGACTGAGCCACCCAGGCGTCCCTCGGGCCTGTATGTAGACGGTTCTGGGTGTGGGCCAGCCCTAACCAGAAGCGGACCATGTGGGGTGTTAGAGCTTCAATTGGCAAAGCCCCTTTTCCAGAATGGCTTTTTCTAGAATGGTTCCTGGGCATAAGCTAAACTGGTGGTTGGGACGGGCAGGGCGGCTCAGACCCTGTTACCGACGCGGAAGCGGGCTGGAGTGGTTAAGTGCTGAGCCTGAGATCACTGGCTGTCCGAGGTCACCGGCAGCCTGGGCGGGGAGCTCAGCTTCTTGCTCCCCAAGTCACGTGGAGACCACACCGCTCGCCAAAGCGCTCTCTGCTCTGGCTGCCCCAGCCTCACCCAGGCGTGTTGATGACCTCGGGCTGGCTGTGGGGCTGGTGTCTGTGGGGCTGCCCGCTCACCCGCTCGCTCCCTCACCCGCCACCTCTCTTGCAGAGCTACCTGGTTGGGTGGGCCCAGTTCCGGATGAACCTCTGGCTGCTGGCCTACCTTGCAGTGCTGGTCGTGTCTCTTATGGACTGGATCGTGTCGCTGAGTCTGGTTTGCCAGGAGGTAGGTAGTGCGGCAGCTTGGAGGTGGGAGCAGGAAGCTCTGGGTGGCCTGCCCCCTGCCCCCTGCCCATCCTCCTAGCATTTCAGTCAGCCATTGGCCATGGGGCCTTGTCCCATCTTGCAGAAGGAGACACTGGGGCCTGGGGAGGGCACAAGGACTCCTGATCCCTGCCTTGCCACTTTCTAGCTCAGCTCCTCGACCGGCTGGGTCCCCTGCTGCCCTGGGGCCTTGCCCTGGCCACGTGGCTGAAGCCCTGGGTGGGCTGCAGTGGGAAAAAGCCCGTGTCAGCCCGGGGTGCTGTCCTGCCCCCCACCCAGACGCACTGCCCTGTGACTGGATAGGACAGAAGCGGGGAAAGAAAGTTTGTCCACCGAGGCCAGTCAGGGACACAAGCCCACTGGGCGCTTTAGCCAAGAGAATTCACACAGAAGCTCAAATAGGTGTTGAGTAACCGCCAAAGCAGAACAGGGGCAGGGCAGGGGCGGTGGGGCAGGAAGCTGCAGGAAGCTCCGGGGCGGGGGCCCCAGAGCCGGCGCCCCGCCCTCCGGGCCCTGGAGGGGTGCAGATCCCCCCGGGCCCCTCCAGAGACTGCTTGGTTCTGGCAGTGCTGAAGGAAGAGGCGGCTGGCAGCCCCCGGCGTGGGTACCGCCCTGGGGCCGGCGAGGGGTCGGCGGGGAGCAGTCGCGTCTCCCCCTCCGGCCTCCCGGCCTCTCCCCGCTGCCGTCCCTGGCAGGAGTAAGCAGCTGCTGAAGGGGAGCCGGCGGGGAGGATGGACGGCACAGTGCGTGCCTCCCACTTCCTCGCAGGAAAGAGCTTCGTGGACGGGTACAAACCCGCGTCTGTGCAGTGGGCCAGGAAAGCCGCGCACGGCTCCTCAGACTTGCGTTGTTATTGGTTGCGGCCCTGACTGATCTTTATAAGTTCCTCCTGCTCAGGGTCCCTGTACCCTTGGGCTCAGCTGGCTCCCCGGCTCCTCTGGCTTCTTCACCTTGAGCGGGGACCCAGACCTTCATTCTCGGCCAGTCCACGTCCTCGGTGCTCCTGCCTTTTGTGATTCCCGGAGTTTTCTGTTAGTCTTTTCTGTTTTCTGTAAGGCTCTGGATGAGCCTCAGGATCCCCGACCTGGACCTCCCTGCCCCTCTGCGCAGCCGCACCCCAGGTGGTCCTTGGCAGTCGGAGCGGTGCGCGCCCACCGGCACCCCACCCTGCTTTTCATGAATCTTCCGGTGTGTCCCCGGTGCAACACCCACCCCGGGGTGGACATTTCCAGAGCGGCAGGACACTGAATTGTGGGCTGGGGAGAGGAGGCGTTGCCGTTCGGTTCTGTCCTGGTGCTCAGAGCCTCTGGTGCACACGCTTGCCTGTCCAGTGAGGACAGATCAGCGCCCTGCCGGGGGACGGGGCCCATTGCAGTCACCCCCAGCTGCCAGGAGGCCACATCTGGGTGGGTGAGTGGAGCTGAGCTTTGCTTCTAGAGGGCAGCCCATCTGTGGTGGCCTTGGGGGCCAAGGCTTGGACATTACTGGACATGATCTGTCTCGGCGCTCCTTCTGCCCGTCCACGCGCATGCTTCTTGGACCTTGTCCCCACTTGTCTGGCCTGTTCTTTCTATGCCCTGATCGCCGCGCGGGAAGTTTTACCTTTCTCGGTACAGACAGGGGGGACCCTGGCCACCAAAATGCTTTCCTTTCACCATCATCTCGGGTTGGGGGGGCGGGGCGGTTCCTGATGGAGGCCGCAGTGCCGCACGTGGTCCACTTCTGGGCAGAACCGTCTCCAAACCAGGCCTGAGGTTCTGTGGCCAGCTGGCCAGTCATAAAGAACTCACACGGGTCCGGGGGGAGGGCGGGCGGGCGGGGAGGACCAGGGGCCTCCCCCTACTCCAGCCTAGTCCCTCTGTCTGTTTCTACCTTGTGGCCCAGAGGGTCCCATCATACATGGTCTACCGGTCACTGGGTAGGCCATGGTCACGACTCTGCTGTGGCTCTTTCTCCTGGGAGACAAGGTATCTGCAGGTTAGTTGGTGGGCTGTGGTTCTGTGTGGGCCTCACCAGGGGCTGCTCATTGGTGTTGATCCTGTGGCGGTACCTCCCCATCCTTCATAAAGGCTGCACGTCCCTGTGTCCATGACCCTGATGTGGCCCCAGCATGGGGAGGGCTCTTGGCAGGAGGTATGAGCTGCACCCTGCTCCATGTCTGATTACAGGTGAGGGTCCGAGACCCTGGGTGTGGCTAGTAGGACCTTCAGCCGCTGCTTGGCCTAGAGGGATGGCTAAGAGACTCGGTATATGGGCACTGAGACAAGGTTCCACCCAAGGGCAGTGAGCGGATTATGGGTGAGCTGGGGACGCTGGTCCCTCCGCCCATGGGGGCAGGGGGGCGGGTGCGCAGAGCCCTGAGTGTCCCTTTTATTGCTGTTCCCTTGGGCTTTCTGGTCCTGTGCTGGGAGCTGGGCCCCCTTCTGAGAATGCATGGAGCCCAGGGAGGTTGACTCGGGCCTTGGGATCCCGTATCGTGTGGACAACCCGGAGGGTCTGCTGTGTGCCAGTGCTGGTGGGACCTTGTTCTGTTGTGAGAGAGCCCTCTTGTGTGCAGAAACCCCAGATATGTCGTGGCATCCCATAGTGCCACGGGTGCCATGCTAGAGGAGGTGGCATTTACACCGGCATGGGAGGGACAGGGACAGCCCGCCTGCTGAGCCAGAGGGGTGGGCTGAGGGCTGTAGCCAGCAGGATGGCGGGTGGCAGCCCCTGGACGGGCCAGAGTGGGCCTCCAGGCAGTCCTTAGGCCTTGGGTAGGGAGGGGACGTGGTCAGCTGGCCTTCTAAGACAAGATGCCCAGTGGGGCGGGAGTCGAGTTGAGAGCTGGGATGGGCCATGGAGCATAAACATGACACTTAAAACCACGCGGCCCAGGAGATAGGGTGATTGCAAGAGAGAAGGTAGCTCTGTTTTTGTATAAAAGATATGAACCACCAAAAAAAGAAAAACAAAACAAAAAAAACCAAACCGTGCGGCTTGACAAGTTCTCCAAGGCGAGAGGCCACACAGGAGAGGAAGGGGCTCTGGGCGTCAGCACTCGGGGGTCAGGTACGGGGGAGATGGCCCAAGGTGCTGGGCAGACTCAGGCCCCGAGGTCACTGAGGCTGGGGTTAGCACCCCAGACAGGAGGACTGGCTGGGTCAGGGGCAAGGACGTGGGGGGCAGGTGGAGGGGCAAGTGGGAAGCGCTTAAGGCTAGGTGGTCCTGCAGACAGCGGGGGCGGGAGGGCCGCTCTGGTTCTGACAGGAAGAAAGAGGGGAAGGAGGAAACAAGGGCCTGTGTGTGCATGTGTGCAGGGGGTGTGCACGTGGAGGGCATGCACGTGGAGGGTGTGTATGAGTGTGTTTGCAGGCGGGCGCTGCAAGGTGCAGAGCGCGGCCCAGCGGCTGTGGGTGCGTGAGGGGTGGGGGCAGGGGAGGAGCTTCGTAGGGAGGTGTGGAGCCCCCCCCCCCCATGGCGCTGTGGCTGCAGGGCTGACGGGAGAGGGTGGCCCGTTGGCAGGGGTGGGGGGAGGATGCAGAGCCGGAGTGGGCGAGCGTGGGGACAAGGAGGTTGGGGCTGTGAGCGGGTGGCCGGCAGGGGTCAGAGCGGGGCTTGGGGGCTCTTGGGCACCTCCGGCCTCGGGCCTGGGTGGAACTGGAGCGCCCTCTCCTGCTGTCTTTCAGCCCCTGCGGCTTCGCAGGCTTTTGCGCCCCTTCTTCTTGATGCAGAACTCCTCCATGATGAAGAAGACGCTCAAGTGTATCAGGTCTTCGCTGCCGGAAATGGCCAGGTGCGCTCTCGGCGCCAGGGCTCACTGCTGTGCCATCGGGGGCGCTGGGACCGTGGCCTTGGGGAAGCCAGTGGGTGGGTGTTCGGGGGCCTCCTGGCAGCCGCTTAGTGGCCCTGTACCCTCTGCTCGACAGCTGCAGAGCCCTGTGGACGCCGCCCTTCCGTTCCCGCTGTGGCCGTGACCACGTCCCCCTCTCTCCTCCCAGCCCCCCACCCCGCCCCAGTTCTCTGTCCCCCGGCCTCCCTCTGCCTCCAGTCCCCTTCCTCCAGTGGCTCACATGGTTGGCCCCTCACCGTCCAGCCAGATGGATGGATGGATGTGGCCTTTCCCCTCTGAGAGTCCAGGGGTCCTTGGGGCCCCAGAAAATGCCCCTGGGGAACTGATTGTCCCTGCCAAGGAAGGAGGGCTCCCTAGGAGGGAGGACCGGTAGCTGAGTGCAGGTCAGGCTCTGGGGCCGGGGGCTCCCCGAGTGCTCGGGCCGGCTGTCCCTAGACCCCCATCGCATTGGTGCGTGGGGCGTGTGTCCTGTGCTGAGTACCCACATCCGTCTCCCCAGTGTCCTGCTGCTGTTGGGGGTCCACCTGTGCGTCTTCACCATGTTTGGGATGCTGCTCTTCACAGGCGAGGAGGTACGGTGCTCTGCTCGGTCCCCAGCCGGGCGCCCGGGGCCTTGATGGGCAGGTCGGCCCGGTCCTCCAGGTAGTTGTTGGGCCTGCAGCGGTGGAGCACCGGCTGGGCTGCCTGCTCTAGCCTTGTAGCCGGGGTCAGTGGGGGCCCGCCTAGAGCCCAGGTGTCTCTGCGAGTGGCCGGTCTTCGTGTGCCTGTCCCTGGGGCCTCCCGGGCTCAGGGCTAGTCAGCCTGGAGGCCCCTCCCGCTCTCCCTCCCTCCCTCCCTCCCTCCCTCCCTCCCTCCCTCCTCTCTTCTCCCCTTCCTGCCCTGTCACCAGCCCAGCTTTCTCTCCCGCCCTGTTGGATGGAGGCGCCCTCAGGCTGGCATGTGGGGCCATCGGGTGGACCGCACCACCGTCTGCCCCACAGTGCCTGCCCCCACGTCTTCTCCATCTGGGGGCTTTTGCCCTCCCCCGGGTCCCCTTCCCGCGCCTCCCTGCTTCTGGGCCCCTAGCAGCTTGTTGCTGTGTGGAGGTGTCGGCCACCCCTCACCCCGGTCCCCGTCCTTCCCCCCTGCCAAGCATCTGTGGTCCAGTGTGTCTTTGCTCACGTCCTGGCCGGGGTCACTGTCGTCCTCAGGCTTGGAGCTGTCCTGCAGCTCTGTCTTGGAAATGTGGCCGGGGCGTCAGCCAAGGCCGATTTCCATTGAGTTTGCGGCAGTACTGGGGGGTTCAGGCCGTCCTGTCCATGAGGGAGAACTGGAGACTGTCCCTTCTGATTCCGGGAGAGCCGGAGCTCCCCTGTGTCTGTAATTCTCTTTTGAGTGGGTGTCTGTGTTTGTGTAATTGTGTGCGCTGGGTGTGCGTTGTCTTTGTGGGTCTGTGTATGCCCGTGTGTGTTTGTCTATGTGGTCGTGTAATTAATTGCATGTGCCGTGTCTCTTTCTGTGTTTCTCAGCCAGGGCGGCTGAAGGCTTTTCCCCATGGTTCTGAGCAGACCCGCTTCAGAGGCCAGCGTCCCCGTGGGTGTGCAGCCTCCCTGGACGCTGGCTCTTGGGCACAGAGGCCCTGAGTTAGGTCCCGTCTGGCCATGAGTGCAGAGTCTGCTGGGAAGTGATGGGCAGGTGCAGGTTAGGGGATGCTGACCCCGCGGCGGATGGAGCTCTGCCAGCTTCAGGCCTTAGCTGGGTGGGGGGTGGCAGAGGCCCGACGGCCCCTCATAGCTGCCACGTTTACTCTCAGCAGGGCGACGGGCAGGACCGGGAGAGGCTGATGTACTTTCGCAACCTGCCGGAGGCTCTGACCTCCCTCCTGGTGCTGCTGACCACCGCCAACAACCCCGACGGTGCGTGAGGAGCGGGCACAGGGCCTGGGCGCGGGTGTGGTTAACGCGGAGCCTCAGCACCTGGCTCCGGGAGGCAGGAGTGTGTAAGGCTTTTTTATCTCTGGGTGGAGCATGAAAAGGAGGACGTTGGGTTCTCTCCCTCTCTCCTTCCTTGTTTTTCTTTCCCGTTTCTTTCCCTTCTCTTTCCTCTTTCTTCCATTTTCCTCCCATCTTCTACGCTCGCTCCCTCCCTTTTTCCTCTGTTCCCTTCGCCGGGTCTTTTCCCATCTCCTGACTCCGAGAAGCTGAGAATGAGCAGGGTGACCAGCGGTGGCGTGGTTGGCGGGTTCCCTGGTGGCTTCCTCTTTGAGGCCCAGCCGCTTTCCCTGTCACCACCTAGGCCCGGCTGTGGGGTGTGGCTCAGCCCTGAGGTGACAGGCCCTGGGTCTTAGGTGGCTGTGGTGCTCACGTTTGGGGTTGCTGCTGGGGCCCCTCTGCGTGGGCCAGGGTGGTGGCCAGGATGGGGTGCTGCGGGCCTCTAGGGCCTGGCTGTGGCCTGGCCACCCTGGCTCGTGACTTTCCTCTTGGGCTCAGGGATGACCCCCCCCCATGATAGAGACCTTCCCGGGAGGGCAGCCCCCAGCTTCCACACCCAGGGGGAGCGGTGCAGTGGGACCCTGAGCATTGTCCCCACATGTCCTGGGAGCCGTAGGGACTCCTGCATCTCTGTCCTGAGGGAGAGCTGAGCTTTCAGCGTGTGGAGAGTTCACAGGGAGGCAGGTTTCAGCTTAGTGTAAGGGAGGAGTCCCCCACTGCAAGGGTGTGGGAGCAGCGGTGTGAGGATTGGCGTTCGACAGGAAGGCCCCCCAGGTCTCCCAACCAGAGCCCTTCTCTCTGTTGAGAGGGCCGACGCGGCGGGGCCGCGGTGGGGATTAGATCAGGGCCTGAGCTTGTGAGCGTGGTTCACTTTCTCCAATTTCTTTCTCTCAGTTATGACTCCTGCGTATTCCAAGAACCGGGCCTATGCCATCTTTTTCATAGTCTTCACCCTGATAGGTGAGTTCCAGCAGGTCTGTGGGGCTCCCTTGGGACAAGAGCCTGCCCCCAATGGCAAGACCACAAATGCTCAGATGTGAGTGTGCCCTCCCAACCTCTGTGCACCCCCCCCCCCCCGGTCCCCCCCCGACCTCAGCGTGTCCCCCCCCGACCCCGTGGCCTCACCTCAGCGTGTCCCCCCC